CCCCCAGCTCACCGATCTTCTGCGTGAAGATCTTGTCAAAGGTCACCTCTCCCCGGTCCTCCAGGTACTTCTGCATGACACTGCGGATGCTGGGGAGACACCAGAGGGACTCAGTGCCCCCCGTGCCCCCCGAAAGACCCCTGCTCCCAACACACTCCCGTGCCCATCATACTCCTCCTCTCCCACTCCTCCCGTGTCCCCCAAGCCCCGGTGGCACACCTATCCTCCTGTGTTGTGTGTCCCCACCCAAGTGTGACAAGTTGCTGGGCCCCTGTAAGGATCACAGGGTGTCCCACGCACTGGGGGTCCAAGGGAGGCTGGGGAGGAGGGCATCCCCAGAAAGCCTCCTGGGTGCCTGGAAGTGAAGGCACAGGAGGGCACCGGGGTCTGGAAGGGGGAGTGGGGACCCTGACCATATGTGTGCACCTGGGCACAGGTGTGTGTGTGTGTAAACATGAGCGTGCACGGCAGCAGGAGAGCAGGGGGGTGACGTGGTGAGGACAGAGGGGGTATATACACATGACTCTATGTCCATGTCCCTGTGTCTCTCTGTTTGTGTCTGTCTGTTGGGCAGGTTGACTGTGTCATCCATGTCTGTGTGTCCATGTGACAGCCAGGATGTGTGAGTGCCCATGTCTGGGTGTCCACATCTGTCTGTCTGTGCGTCAGGAAGGATTTGTTTGTGCGCCCATGTCTGCGTGTCTGTGTGTATGTCAGGCAGGATATGTGTGTGCCCATGTCCGTGTGCCTGTGTCCGTGTGCCTGTCTGTATGCCAAGCAGGATGTGTCCATGTCTGTGTGTCCGTGTGTGTCTATGACCATGTCTGTGTGTCCCTGTCCACGTCTGTGTGTCAGTGTGTGCGTGTCCACGTCCGTGTGCCCATATCCTTGTCCGTGTGTCTGTGTCCATGTGTCCGTGTCCATGTCCACGTCCGTGTGTCCGTGTGTCTGTGCCGGGGCAGGACGCGGTGCCGGAGCGCAGCCCGGGCAGGTGTTCCCGGCCGGTGCCGCGCACACACGTGTGCGGGAGTGTCTGTGACACGCGGGTGTGAGCGAGCGGCGCCGGGAGCGGCGCGGACGGGATGCGCGGGGGCCGCGGGGGGGT